CGCCTTGCTCAGGAAAGCCAGGAGCCTGCTCAGCCTGGGGCGGGGTGCCTAGAAGACACACACATGCACACACACACCCGACTCCCCTCACGCCCGGGGCAGGCGTGTGCCAGCTTCTGCCTTCTTGAGCCAACCAACCAAATTGGGGTTTTAAAACCGCCCTCGCTTGTGTCCAATTCCTGCAGCTCACCCCCCGAAAGCAGCTGCTGGGCACCCAGATCCTCCAGGCGACCAGGTGAGCGAGTCCAAGGTCAGCTTTGAAGCTCTGCTGCATTTTTCTCCTCTTTGGCCTCCCCGGATTTCTCTCCTGCTCTGCGGTTTCCAAAGAGCCCGAAAACCCCGGGCGTCTTTGCTGCGCTTTGGAGGCGTTGCTATCTCCAAACCGCCAAACCTATTCCTGAAATCCGTCGGTGGCTACAAGTTGCAAGAGGCCTTTTGCAGACCAAAACCACCACGGCCCACTTGGTCTCCTCATTCCCCTTTCCTCCCGGTCACAGGATGCCTTGGTGATTGACTTAACCGACGAAGAAAGCAATCCCGACCAAGGTGAGCAGGCTGCTTCCCCCCCCTTCAGGGCGACGTAGCGGTGGTGCTCGTCCCTGTTTTAACCGTGTGGCCTCCCCGCTCCGTCCTGCTTTTCCACAAAGCAGCGGAGTAAACGAGAGAGCCACCTGCAAATGAAACGCTGCTTCAGCGTGTTCCCGTTGTCTCTGGAGGAACAGAAGGATTCTTCCGCTGGAATCTCTGCACCCGACTGGCTGCCTCCAGGAGGGTGGTTGGCCCCGGAGGAGCGTTGCTTCCACAGCCCAGACAGGAGAGGCCACCCCTGGGGGGGGGGGATGCGTTGCGCTCGGGGACGATTTCTTCGTTTGCCCTGCAGATCAGAGCTCAGGGGCCTTTTTTGGTAGCTGTTGCCATTGAGAAGCCACCGGCTGATTTGGGGGGCGGGGGGGGTTGCCACCCACGAATGAAGCGGTGCTTAGCGCAATGTCTAAAATGCTAACCACTTTTTATCTGTGGCCAAAGAAGAGAAGAAAAAAGTTGGAAGAAGCAGACACTGGGGCCACGAAAGCCGGCAACCGGAGAGCCTTCCGCAGCCTGCAAGAGAGTCCCCGGATCAGGTATTTGAACGAAATCTCCCACTTGCAGAACCGCCCGGGTCCCCCGCAGGCAGGATGGGCTGCACACCCAAGCCCTCCAACATAGCCAGGGACACTAAAGAAAAAGTGGGTATTCCCCCCCCCCCCCCTGAGTTTGACTTCGCGGGAGTGAAGTCCTGCATTGGAAGGGAGGAGCTTTATTCGCTTGGCCACAAGGGGGCAGCCTTGCAGCGGGAAAGGCCCAGGACGGATCCGGCAGCGGCTGAGCTCGGAAACCATGGGGGGGGGCTTCCGGGGGGGGGGGTCACTGGCCCCAAACTTTCTGGGCTTCCTGCTGCTGCAACGGTTCCGTCCTCAGCCAGGCCCGAAAAGAGCGGGGGAGGCCTGGAGCCCTCCGGGAGCCTCCACCGAGCGAAGCAGGCAGCCAAAGGAGCCGGGGCTGGTTTCAGCTGCCCTGGGAGCTTTGCCAGGACTGCAGAGGTGGAGAGGCTCCCTCCGGCTGGCAGGGTCCCCCTCCGGGCCTTGGCATTGCCTCCCCCTCTGGGCAAAGCAGGGGGCGGGGGCTCTTTTGGAAGGTGGGAAGCAGAAGGGAGGAGGGGCCGGTTGGGGCTCCCTTCCTGGCTGGGCCAAACCTTTGCAGCTGAACCGAAAGGGGATCCTCCGCTGCCATCCAAGCTTGCCTTTCCCCAGGGACAGCCCCACCCCCGCCCAAACCTGTTCTGGGGGGGGGGTGCGTTGCACGGCTCGGAGCCCCTCCGCTTGCCTGCTCACGAACGGCAGCTCCTGCCTCCTCCAGGTGCCCCCCAGGTTCCCGCACCTGCCTCCCTTGCCCAGCGTTAAGCCGGACCCAGCACCCTGGGAGGGCCTCGAGGACACTCCACCCCCCCAGAAGCTGGAGCTGGTGGTGGCTCCAGTGAACCAGCCCAAGGGCATCGCTCTGCAGTGGACCATCAGCCACGTGGACCCCCGGTGCGCCCCCATCGAGAGCTTCTCCCTCTTCATGTGCCTGGAGGACGTGGGCAGCGGCATCACCTCCGCCTGGAAGCGGACCAGCGTCATCAAGGCCCTCCCGCTGCCCATGGCCTGCTCGCTCTCCCAGTTCCCCCGCTCCGTCCGGTGCTACGTCACCATGCAGTCCAGGGACATCCACGGGCGCCACGGGCCCTTCTGCGAGGTCCAGGCCGTCTCAGCGCTCTAGCGGGGGCTTCCGGGAGCGGCAGGACCCCTTCCCCAGCCTGACGGCCCTCTTCCCGGATGCTCCGTAGGGGCATGAATTCCCCGGCTCAGCGTGCTGAAAACACCCCAGCCAGGGCTCGGTTGGCCTCCCCGGGGGGGAAGGTCTGAGAAAAGGCTCCCGGGAAGACGCCCCCCCCCCCCCACACACGCTGATGCCTCCAGAGAGAAGAAAGGGGCGGTTCTCCTGCTTCACCTGCGGGGAGAATCCGACCCGAGACCCCCAAGAGGGGGGACTTTGCTTTCAGTATTGTTCCCATCCCTCCAGCTACGAGGGGGGAAAGGAGAGGGGGAGAGGTGGATGTGCTTTTGCCCCAAAGCCAAGTGGGTCAAGAGAAAGAAATTATTTTTTCTAAATAAAGTGCCTTTTCTGTTGGATTTTCCTGATTTTGTAAAAGGCCGCTTGGGTGGGGTGTTCCGATCCAGAAGCATTTCTCCCCCCTCCCCCCCCTTCTCAACCTTAGTGAAGAAGTGGCTATACAGCTGAGTCTTGCTGGCTGTGGCCTGGCGCACCGTTTCCCAACGTTGGCTGTGGACTTCAACTCCCAGAATTCCCCATCTGGCTGGCTGGCTTTGGAAATCTGGGAGTTGAAGTCCACACATCTTAAAGTTGCTTTTCTGGGCCGGCTTATTCCGAGCATCCTTCCTTGCCAGTTAAAAAGGCGCAGACCTGCTTCTTTTTGAGAACTGGGGTCAATGCCAATCTCCTGGCCTCTCCAACCGAGGGTCTTCTGCTGGGGCCACTGGGCTGCCTTTCGGGCTCCTTCCGGGAAGCCTGGATGCCCTGGGGCACGCGACACACCCGCTCCCGCCTAGGAGGCCCCTCTTCCCAGCTGTGGGGAGGACGGGATGCCTTAAAAGCGTCCTAGCAAAGCAACGGCTGCCTCCTGCTCGCATGCAAACCATCCGGAAGGCAACACGGTCTGCCTCGCAGCTACAACAGAATGAAATGGCGGCCTGATACTGGTCGTAAGCTTTTATTTCTATATACAATTCAGTTCAATAGGTATATAAAATACAAAACGACGAAGGCACCGTTGGTAGAATTGCGCTACACATTTTTCCTCCGAGAAACCCCAATTGCTCAAACCCTTGAAAAACTTGGGAAGCCTAAAGAGCTTCGCTCCGCTTGAAGTGGAGCAGCGTTCGGTTAAAAGGGGCTGTTTTGTACTTACAAGGCCGGGTTGCCTGGTTATAGGAAGGCTTCTTTCGGAGGGATCAGAAGTATAAAGGCAAATAGGGTTACATGGGCACATGTGCTATTTCGTTTAAACACAAATCCAAATCCAAATGATAACATCCCCAGAAGAGCTCATTGTTCTGAACGAAGGTTCACCAGTGGCAAAAACGTACTTTTGAAGCCTGAAGGGAGGAGCCAGGGTGGGCCGGGCGGAGGGTGGGCACGGGGTTATCCCGGAGGGAGGAAGCGGCAGGAATGAAGGGCACGGAAGGCCAAAGGGGGCGAGGACACGTCGAGCAGGAAGGGTCTTCCCACACAGCAGAGGGGGCCATTTTAGTCCAGATAAGGCCACCCACTCCAAATCTTGGCTTAATGAGACCCTAACCAAGGAGGCCGCCCGCATGTTTGACGCAGGGGCTGTTTGGGAAGCGGGAAAGACCCGCCACTCCTGCAGGTGGAGCTGCCTCTTCTCACCCATAAGAGCAGCCAGCTGGCCCCGGAGCCTCGTTTGCTAGCCATGGATCAGATGTCACGGTCTGGTAAAAGGGAGGAGCAAGGCCAGCAGCCGAGGAGGAGGAGGAGGAGGGCTGGGCTGCCTCTGGCCGAAGACGCCCCAGGGTCCCCCTGGCCTCTGCTGGGCCTGGGCATTGCTCTCCTCCCCAGCGCCAGCCCAGCCTTGCTCGGCTTTGAAGTCTGCCCTTGTCTGCGGGGGAGGGGGAGGGGGGGCCTTCAGACACATTGAAGGCCTGCCCCTCCCCCCACTTTGGACAGGAAGGCCAATGTCCGGCCTCGCCCTGCACCAATGGGCAAACCCCTGCAGGGCCGCCTCAGGCCGAGCGCAGCTCTCCCATCGCCTCAGAAGGAGAGGGGGGGGGAGGACAAAGCGGGAGGGGACTCATACCAGGGTGGGCCGGGGGAGGCGGGCAGAGCTGCGGCAAAGGTGGAGGACGTTCTGGCTGCGGATTGAGGCCCCACGGCACCCAGCGAGGTAGCTCAGGACGCGCACCAGCATCGCCCAGGAGAGACGCTTCGCCTTGGGCAAGGGACCCCGGGTGCCCCCCGGGCAGGGCGAAAGGGGCCGCCCCACTGGGAGCCGCTGTTGCATGGAGCGTATTGAGGGGCAGGGGGGAGCGGGGCCCTTGGCACCCCGGAGGCCCTCCGTTGCGCGCCAGCTTGCACGGTGCCAGCTCTTGGGTCTTTACAGAATTGGGGGGGGGGGGACACAATGTGGGCCGTGAGGAGCCCCCCCTCCCTGTGGCGTAAAAGGGAGCCTGGGCTAAGGAGGCTGGCATCGGTTGCCCACTGCTGGTCCCAAGCAGACACACACACACACACACACACACACCCGGTGCCCCAGCTCCCTCTCCTCTTCGGCCCTCCCGGTGGCCTTGTGATGCCACACCAAGGATGTGGGGGGGGGGGGGGAGGCAGGGCGGTCGGCAAACGCCTCCTTTTTCACAAAGGGGGGGGGGGGGGGGGCCAGCGCGTCGGGGGGGGCGCGGGGGGGGGGGGGGCCGGGGGGCGGCTTTATTTGCGCTTCCTCAGGATGAGGTACATGAGGCCACTGAGCAGCGTGAAGGCGAAGGCCACCCAGGCCAGGATGTAGGAGTAGCCGAAGCGGCCACCCTCCACCTCAAAGCGGCCGTAGAGGGGGGCCCGGTGCAGCTCCGCACGCCGGTCGGTGTAGACGGAGGCCCCAATCATCACGCAGAGGCCTGCGGGCGAGAGGCAGAGGGAGCCTGCTTAGCATCAAGGCCCAAACCCCAGGCCCAGACAGCAGGAGCCGCCCTCGACTTACGACCAGGAGTGCGACCGGAGTTTCTTGCTCAGTGAGCGGTGCCTGATTTTACCACCTTTTGGGCCACAATTGTTCAGTGGTTGCTAAGCAAATCCGGTTTCCCTCGTGGACTCTGCTAGTCAGTTTGGCTCACGTGACCACGGATTGCAAGGACTGGCCATAAGTCGCTTTGTGTGGTTGTAACTTTGAACTGTCACTAAACAAGCGGCCGTAAGTCGAGGACCACCCTGTTCCAGACTTGGAGGAAGTCCTCGCCAGGCAACTTTGGCCCAAGCGAGGAGGCTCCACGGACAGTCGGGTCTCTGGCGCTGCCTCCCCCAGCAAACCATGGCGAAGGGGGAAGGGACGCTCCCCCCCCACCCCCCCGCAACCGGGTTTAGCAATCCCCTTAAAAAGGTCGGTCTGGTCCTGGGACAGGAGGCTCCGGAGGCGGGATACTCACAGGACAAGAGCTGGATGATGGAGGTCAGCACAAACCGCTCTCCTTGCTTCAGGCGGAAGAGCTGCAGGACGAAGACGAAAAAGGCCACGCAGCAAAGAATCGTGGACAGGACCATCGTGGCTTGGACGGTCTGGATAGACGCGTACTCTGGAGGGGGGAGAATTAAAAGGCGCGTTGAGGCAGGTCACCCCTGGGGCGAACACCTTGGCAGCTTTAAGCCCTGGGGGGACTTCAATTCCCAGAATTCCCCGGACACCCTGAAGGCCTAGAGCAGGCGCCTCCAACCATCGCAACCTTTTCAGGCCTGGGGAATCCTGGGACTTGAAGTTCCCAGGTCTGAAAGTTGACAGCCCTGCCAGATTGTGCAGCCCAAGACGCCGTGGCTCGTAAGCCAGGATTGGTGGCTTAAGGCCCTTCTTTGCTGGAGAAGCTTCAAAGGCCTCGTCGAGCCCCCTCCTTGTTCCGGAGAGCAGCGGCAGCGGCGGCAGCGGCAGCTCCTCGGGGGCCTCCCCTGCCCAAGCTCATTTTCCACTGGCCTTTCCGCCTGCAGGCCCAGCCGCTTCCTGCCTGAAACGTCCCCGTGCCAATTCCATGCCGAAGGTCAACAAAAGAAGCCCGGTTCCCTCGCCAACTCCCCATCCTCGATTTCCTCCACAGGAAAATCGGCTGGCTTCCACTGCAAGGAACTTTCTGGATCGGGCAGCTGTGGGCCGCTCCCTTCCTCCTCTTCTCTGCCCAAGCGCCTTGGCAAAGCGCCTTGGCAAAGCGCCCCGGCTTCCCTGGCGGTGGCCCCCACTCCTCAAGGAGGGGGAAATCCCAGAGGAAGGGGCTTCCGGTTGGGGCAGACAGGGCTACAGCCTGGACCCCCCCACCCCCAAGCAGCTTACTTCTCTGAGGCAGCATCCAGGATGGAAGCCAGTAACGTAATATAGAGGCTTTCATGTCTGACCTGAAGGGACAGAGCTCATCTCCGTTGTTTGGCCGAGGGAGCCTGCGCTGTCCAAAGTTGCTTCCGTGGTCATGTGGCCAGCAAGGCACACAGAACACTGCTACCTTCCCACTGAAGTGGTACCTATTTATCTACTTGCATTTGCATCCTGCGACCAGAAACTGGAGCTCACCCTGTTAGCAGCACTCAGGACCTGAAGCCAGTCTGTCAGCTGACAGGCTCGGCATCTTTAACCGCTGAGCCACCACAGCCCCAGGAACCCAAGGCATTTCTGAGCGGTTGGGAAAATGCCGAGTGCCATGACGCCCTGGCATTTGGCACCCACGGGCCAGTTGGAAGGCTTTGGGGCTGGGGAGGGAGAGAGGCAGGAGGCCCTCCAAGGGTGCCGTTGGAGTGTCCGTCTCTTCCCACCCCCAGCAGGCGGGGAAGTCCTCCCGGAGACTCACCTGGGAGGGAATTATCCAGGGCGGTACAGTTCGTCTCGTTGAGGCACTGGTGCCAGATGTCCGTGAAGAAGCCATCCCCCACCCACCAGGCCTGCAAAGGAAGGCAAACAGGACATACAGACGGTGAAGGGACCTCTGCTCAGGAGACCAGGAACTGGCCTTTGTTATAAGATAAAAAATAAAAACCCAACCGAAGGGACACACAGGCAATGGATTTTCAAGGAGCCTCTGTGGCTGGCAGTCATTGCCTACTGACCTCGCCTGTGGATACGCGGAGAGAGAACTTTGTAAATATGTCTAAGAAAAGAGTCAGGAAGTAGCTCCGTGTGTGAGTGTGTGTGAGTGTGTGTGTACGCACGCACACACACAAACCAAGGTGGTGTTTTGTTTCAGCTGATGAGGTCAGCATTTGAGCTCCATTCAGGCCAAACTCCGCTCAGGCACGTTGTGTTTACAGGCGAAAACACAACCATAACAGCCCACAGATTGACGACCGGCGATCCAGACAGGCAGAGAGCGACCTGACTCTGGGGATAACTGATACTTCAGAGATCAGGGTGGACTTCGGTCCGTGCTCTGTTCGATTCGACCCGCATACTGGCATAAAGTGGTGCCAGTTGCCCATTTGCAACACGTATGAAGACAGACTTCCAGCTGCTTGGATCAGCTGAATTGGCACCACCCCCAGGTGGGAGTCGTGGTGCATGGGTGTGCGGGTATTCTTCCTTGTTTAGGTCGGGGGGCGGGGGGGGGCTTCTCAGCAGCGCCTGGAGCCACCTTTCTCAACCTTGGCTGCTCAAAGATGTGTGGACTTCAGCTCCCAGCTCTTCCGGGGGTGGAAGTCCAGACGTTTTCGAGAGGCCAAGGCTAAGCTACGCTGCGTTAGACCAAAGGCCCCGTCTGTGTCCTTCCAGATTAGAAGAGGCCGGTAAAAGTTGCTTTCCTTGTTCAGAGGAAATCCCCTCTGACCCTGGAACCAGACCCCGGGCAGGAAGCTTCCCTGGCAACTCACGTTATCGATTGTGGAGATGAACAGAAGCGCAGCCGAAATGATGTGGAAGAGGATGATGAAGGCCAGGAGGATCAGCATGGCGGAGCAGGAGCGGGGGGCGGTTCTGAGGTGAGGATGAGAATAAAGCGACGCTGTTTGGACACAAAGAGAAAAGAGAGCAGAATTATGCCAGGCAAGTCCTCCTGAAGCCTTCTGCTACTTTAGCCAAGCCGGTGCCTCTTTCCGCTCCCTTCACTTCCACAGAACAATGCCAGGGTTTGCACGGAGCAGGGCTGCCTTCTGAAAGACACGCCTGGGAGTTGCCCAGCCGGAGAAACAGGGATTTAGAAGAACTCGGGCGATGCAGTTGGGCCTGATCTTCCCCTCCAAAGAAGCAAGAGCTCTTCCTCAGAGTGGAAAAGCTTGATCGACCAGTTCAAAAAGCTAAACCGGGACCTGGGAGGGTGGTGGCTGTGGCGGAAAAGCCCTTTTCCTCACCTTCTCCTCAACCCAGGAAGCCATGAAAGCATCCCAGGGACTAGTGGGCTACTCTAAATTCAGTGAAGTTGAACGTTTTCCTCACTTTCCTCACAGATACAGTAAGACCACGGGGGGGGGGGGGGGCACAACTCCAGAAAGACCAGAAAACCAGACATCCTGTTTTTTCCCATGGTGGCTGATCCCATCCTAATCTCTTTCCCTCCCTCCCTCTCTGCATCTGAGCACTTGCAGTGCACAAGGGAAGCCCCCTCTTCCCTTTGCGAACACCACTTAGCAATAGATTTATATCCCGCTTCGCGATGCTTTCCAGGCCCCTCTAAGCCGTTTACAGGGCCAGCCTCTTTCCCACAATGATCTGGGTCCTCATTTTACCAACCTCGGAACGACAGAAGGGTGAGTCAACCTTGAGCCGCTCAGGATCGAACTGCTGGCAGTGGGGATGCAGAGTCAGCCTGCAAAGCTGCCTTCTCACCACTGCGCCACCACGGCTCTTTGTATAAATACCCACTTAACCATAGTGGACTCCGTGGGAGGGTCGCAAGGGAAGGGGGGGATTTAATGGATGGAGAATGCCTGAATCTATACCGCGGGTGGGCCTCTCAAGAGAGGCAGCTCTACCTGCACCGTCCTCCAGCAAGGGAGGGGCTGGGGTTAAGGCCAAGGAGGCATTGGGAGCGCCTGGGGGCCTCGGAGGGCATCTACCGGAGCCGGAGCAGCCGGAGGGGGCAGCTAAGGGAAGAAGAGGAGGCTTTGGCCCTGGTGAACATGCCCATGGACTCCTCTCTGCTGGCCCCTCCTCAAGGAGATTTTCAAGATCAGTCTCTGCAGGCTCCCTCCGTACTCTGGCCCCTTATTTGCTGACCTTGTTTAATCCTGAGACCTTGGAGCTCTTGAATGGTCTTCCAGGGTGGCGCCTGCCCTCATCTGTGGCCCTGAGAAGCCGCCTCTGCGCCTGTTTGCCTTGGAGGGTCCAGCCCCCACCCAGAACAAGGCCTGCAGCTTTGCTCAAGGGGGCCTTTCAGCGGGGCAGGACCACACCAAGGCTCCTGGGGTGCATTTGGCAGAATTACTCACCTGCTCCCTCCCTCCCTCCCTCCCTCCCTCCCTCCCTGCTGTCATATTAGAAGATCTACAACTGGGTGTAGCAGCTCTGGGGCCAGGCCTGAGGATTCGGGAGGGGCTGCGTTAAGAGGAGCTGAGGTTCCAGCGGCCACAGCTGCCTTTCATGCGGGTCCTGGGTTGGTCTCCCAGGAACATGGGTTATGTGCTGGGGACTTGGCATGATCTGGGTCCCTGCCCAGGGAAAGAAGGGGTTTCCTTCTTCTGTGGAAAAGGAAGTTTGGAGCCTGGGTTGACCCCTTCTCGGTGTCCGTTTGGTCCCTCATGGTGCCAATGAGGAGCCCTGCGGAGGAGGCACCGACTGGCCTCCCCCTCTGAGGAAGGGCAGGGGAGGATTGAAAGGCCACTTGGCTAAGAACAGGAAGAGGCTGAGAGTCGGAAGACCCAGCCTGAGGATGCCATGTGCTGCCCTGGGCCAAGCGCCACCTCCGGGGTCGAAGGACAGTGCCTGCAACGGAGAGCTTCCAGGGCAGAAGGGAGGAAGCGGCGGGGGGGCGGGGGGGAGAGAGCCAGAACTCTCCTCCTCACAATGCCCGGCCTGTGTGGCCACACCTAAAGGGCACCTGGTGAAAGGGGGGCTTTTCTAGCCAAGCCTTCCTGAACCATATTGGCGGGCGGGTGGGCTGCCTGCAGAGCAATCCAGCCCACGGTCAGTCCCAGAATGCCTTTCCCTCCGCCGGGAGCCACGCCTGACAAACGTCTGTTTGCCCAGCCAGGGAGTGGCCAGAGGAGAACATGAAGTCAGGATCCCCAAAGTCACAAGGAGCCCTGCCAGCAACAAGGGCAGCAAGCCAACTCGGGATGAAACGGGGCTCTCGGGCTCTGCTACGTCTTCTGGCTGCCCACCTGCTTCGTCTGACGTGAACCTGTTGCCCGTTGTTTTATCTGCGCTGGGCCGTGGAAAGAGGGACGTTACCCAGTGTACTAAAACCCTTACGACGCTTGAAACAAATCTTTAAACACACCTCAATGCGTCGGAGGGACCCTGCATGTCCGTTGACGGACTACAAGAGCCGGTTTGCCCAACGTGCCACGCCCCCACCCAGGCCAGCTTAGTTCACCCTGACTGGACGGATTGATCGCCTGAGATCTATGCCCTGGCCTGATCCACTGAATCTGAGCGGTTTTATTTGAAGAAGCGAAATCGTTCTAAAGGAAGAGAAGCCGTTTCCAAGAGCAGCCGGCCAGATGCTCTTGGAAAGCTCGCAAGCGATGATCTACCAATCAAAGCAATGCAGAGAAAACAGGCAGGAATGCAAGCTGGAAACAAAATACGACAAAGTAATTTTGAGAGCTCTCTTGTCAACGTACTCAAGCAGCAGGTATTCCAATTGCTTTGTGGGAGCAGAACGGAGGCCAGGGCCCCCGCCAGGTGACCCTTCGCTGGGATTCTGGGTCCATTCTAGGTGATCCAGAGCAGCAGGCACCTTCCTGGGGGCCCTAAAGGCCCAGCTTCCCAACTGCATACTGGCTGGTCCCTGGGGAAGGAGGGACTGAGAGGCCCGCAAAGGCTCAGGAGAACCAATGGGGCCTCTCTCCCTTCCCCTTCACTGTCCCAGTGCCCCCTTTTAGCATCAGAAGGTCAGCAGGACTGGCGGCAGAGGTGGCCTTCAGCAGGTTCTGACCCGGTGGCCGAAATTTTGCGTAATTCGGAGAGAACCAATGGTTCCCTTCCCCCAGGAGTGGGGTGGGAATGGAGATTTTACAGTCTCCTTCCCCTGCCACGCCCTTCAAGCCATGCCCTTCAAGCCACGCCCACAGAACCGGTAGTAAAAAACATTTGAATCCCACCACTTGACCGGAGGCCACCCAGCTGCCTGCCTCAGTCCAAGGGGCTCCTAGCGTGAGGGCAACCAAGCCATCTCAGACGGCCCTCAGCCACACCCACCTTGCCCCTTGGACTCGCCCCCTGGCAGAAGTCAGGGTTGACCTGGGCATCTCCCCTCTCCTCCTCAGAGTCCTTGTGTCATTCCCCTCTGGGGTTCCCCTTAAAGGTGAGGTGGGGGGGTCTTCAGGAAAGGCCAATCACATGGGAGGACCAGGAGGCCATTCCCCCTTCTCCCCCCCCCCAATTTAGGTAAGGATGGGAAGCCAGACGCAGGGGGTGGCAAGATGCTGCCAGGTGGGGCTCGGGCAAAGGAAGAGGCGCCTGGATGCACCTGGTTACATTGGAGGTGGGGCAAGGCTGAATCCCTGGACCGCTTCTGACAACAAAGCTCTGCTCCAGGAGAGGCGCAGGGCACAGGGGCTTCCCCATTCACACATATCTACCCGCGTGCACACATGTATGGAAATCCTCGCTATTCACCTCACTGTTCTTAGTGACACTTTTCCTTCTCCGATATTATGCACGCTTTGCATAATTAAGTTTGCTGAATAGAACAAACAAGTAGCAGGATTCACAGAACACCCTGCATTGTTCATCATGGTTTGCAAAGCAATTGGATTCAGCTGTTAAGCCGAACCTTCCCTGCCATGGAAAAGGTTTCCCAAACTGACCAACTGGACCGATGCCCCAGAAGCCTCCAGGAAGGGAAAAAGGCAAAACACACCTCTCTGGGTCTCCCTTACCTGGGCACCTGTTACAGGTACCTGCCACAACTCCTGTTTTCTGGGTGGGAACGCAAGAGAGTCTCTTCAGCCAAACCCTTCGGCCCTTCCTCGGCCCACAACCATTCAAACGTCTGCAGTCCAAGCACGGGGAGCCTCCCGATGCGTTGTGCAGACAGGAAAACCCACTGAACCCGCTGCAGGGTCCTCCGGGCCGAGGCGCGGTCTGGCTAGAGGGTCTTCACCGACGGCCCCCGCCCCGTCTCCTCGTCCCCGGCGCCGAGGAGCGTCGGCAATCCCCCCCTCCCCCCAATTCCGTGGAAGCAAGGGAGGCGTCCCGGGGCCAGGCCGGGGGTGCGTGGGGGGCACGGGAGAGCCCCGGGCGGCGCTTCGTGGCCGGCTGGAAGGGACTCTCGCCAGGAGGCCCAAGAGCCCCGGGAGGGACCGTCCCGCTCCGGCCACCTTCGGCTGCGCCACGCAAAGAGGCCGCCCCGCGAGGCCGCCCCGGGTCTCGGCTGGCCGTCCTTCCCGGCTGGCGCCCTGCCCCGCGGAGGGGGCTCCACCGAGGGCGGCCAAGAGCGGCCCCCAGCCAGCGCCTCCGCCCCTCCCCGCCCCGTCCCGCGGGGCGCTCCCCGACGCCAGCCGCGCTCCGGCGCCCGGGATCGCGGCGTCCCAGCCCAGCCGCCCGGCGCGACGGCAGCGGCGGCGGCATCGCTCGCCCCCCGGCCCCGCTTGCCGGCGCTTCTGCCGCGCCGAGCCCGCAGCGGTGGCTTCGGAGTCCGGCGCGTGGCCGGAGCTCCGCTCGCCCCTCTGCAGCCCGGCTTCTCCTTCCGGCCCCTTCGCCCGCCCGCCCGCCCGCCCGCCGGCGCCCCACTCACGGCCGCTGGGTGCTGCTGGCCCGGGCAGGGAGCGGCGGGGCTGCTGCGCGCGCGGAGTCGCTGCTCGGTCTGCCGCCTCCTGGGCCGGCCGTGTCAGGAGCCCGGCGGGGAGGGGAAGGAGGAGGGGAAAAGGCAGCGGGCTGGGGGAGCCGCCAGCAGGCCGGGCCGGCGCGCAGGGGCGGCGGCAGCGGCAGAGGAAGCCGAGCGCTTCCCGGGGCTCTCTCGGCGCCGGCCGGAAGGGGCGCCTTTGCTCGGGGGGGGGCGCCGCACCCCCGGCCGCCCCTCCCGCGAAGGGAAAGGCCGCGTCGCCCGCCGGCCTTCCGGGGAGCCCCGCGCCTCTTCCAGGGGACCTCGGAGGAGCGGAGCGCGGCTTTGCCCGGCTGGCCCCTTTCCGACCTTTGGCTGGTGGAGAGACGCCGGTGCTGCACAGACCCCCCCACCCCACCCCCCACCCCCCGGGCCAGTCCCACCTCCGGGTCTGGGCCGGTCAGCCAAAGGCGGCTTCCCCACAGAGGAGACCTCGGCCGGCCTCTTGGCCTCTTCTTGGAAAGGAGCTTAGCCAGAGGAGGACGGGCATTTCCTGACCCAGCCCAGGATCCGGGTGCAGGATTGGAATCCACTGGATTCCGGAGACTCTTGAAGCAAAAGCCAGGGACCTCGGAGCGACTTCCGGGGCTCCCAGGACAAGCACCTCCGAGGGACGGGGGGGCTTCCCCACCACAGCCCTTTCCTTTGGCTGACTGCGGGCAACAGAGGCCGATCACCTGTGGGGCATTTCAACACAGGTGGATGGAAGTGCCACTGGAACCAGTAAGAAATGCGGGGGGGGGGGGGTTCCTGAGCCTCTTTGACTGGCCAGACTCACTGGGCACCCCGTACAGAGGGGTCTCCCCCTTTACTGGAGGGACAAGGGGACCCCCGGGCCACCGGAGGCCCCAGCCAGGCATTTTAGCGCACAAACAAGGGCCCCTCCCACCAGGCTCGCTCCAGGGCACCAAAGGATGGCCAAGTTATTTTGGCAACTGAGGTAGGAATTTCCACCACCGGCCCTGTTCTCCACCTCCCTGGCAGGGAAAACACACCCATGGAGCAGCCGGGAGCCGCCAGGGCCTTTCCAGAAGGCTCCATCCGAGAGGCCGAAGGGCTCCTGCCTGACCGGCTCCCAGCTGAGCCGCTCGGTCCCCATGGGGGCACCAGGCTAGGAAGAGGCCCCTTCCGTGCACAAAGAAGTGAAAGACCTCCCCCCCCCCGAGAACGTGGCCCCGACAGCAGCCATTTCTCACATCCGGGTCACTACCTCTTGATGAATGGGCCCACACGGGCCAGGACCACGAAACGCCTGCCTTGCTCTCCGATCAGAAGAGGACAAGACCCGCAGACTCGTGGGCAAGAAGGCTGCCGGGCAAAGGGCCCTGGCCGCAGAAGGGGATGGCTCGGGGACATGGAGGCTGACATGGGAAGAGGGGGCATGAAGGGGGCACCTGGGCGACCCTGTCCCTTGGCCAAAGGTCACCTGTTTGCAAGCAAAGACCCTCCATCCCTAAGGGGCTCCCTTCTTATGTTCTTGGCCACAAAGGTGACCAGTCTTGCAAAGGTCCAGCCAAAGCTGCAACAAGCGAAGCCTGGAAATAGGATGCCTGGAACAGGGAAGCCAAAGCAGAGCCCCAGCCACGACCTCAGCCTCCCGCCAGGCCTCTCGGACGCTCCTGTAAGAACTGGGGCTGCTTCCGGCGGCAACGCTGCCTTTTCCGACGTTGCAGCTGGCAGGTCTGGGGCCCTTTTCTTCCCTGCAGCCCCACCCCCACCCAATAAAGAGCATCAGCGGGTCTTTGGACCACTTCCCCTCCAGGCCAGGGAGAACCTGCAGGGTTTTCTCCCTCCCTCTTCAAAAAAATAAGACAAGTAGAAACCAAGTACGATGAAAACTAAATCTGGTCCACCAGTTTGCAAAATGCCGCATCCTTCAAGAGGGTCTCCACTTAATCGCAGCAGAAGGAAGAGGATGCTGAGCACCATCTTTGCACTCCTGTCTCCACCTTTCCCAGCCAGGTGTGCTCGCCCATCCAGGCCCTGGGAGCAGGTGAGGTTCAAGGGCATAGACACCTTGTCGAGGTGTGAACCCGTACACGATAAATCCAGGCTTACTGGGATGTCTGTCTGCGTGACGGAGGATGGCCAAACCCTGTCTCGATTTCCCTGGTTTCCTGTACCGTTATACAAGGCCCCCTGTGAGCAGCAGGAGCGCTCCAGCTTCTCACCTGGCCTGAGAGGCCTCCCCAAAGACCTGGCTGGCCTGGAGGGGAAACCCGGCACAAGCCGGAATCTTCCCCTCAGCCTGGTGCTCCTCTTCTTGCTGGGCCTAAGAGGGAACGCAGCCCAGCACACCTGGAGGATGCCAGTTTGGGGGAAGCCAGGCAGAGCTTTTGGCTCTCTTCCTGCACACTCCCAAACCACACACCAACCATTTCTGGCTGGGAAAAATCCAGACAACCATTCGTGGCAGCAAAGAAAGGACGAGCGCGGTGCTGCCTCAAAGGGGTCCAGCTTCCTCTTGCCCAGATCCGGGAGGCTGCTCTGGTCTGCAGAGCAACCATCATCCTTCCAACGGTTGGGCATAACTGGCGAACAGCAACTTCCGTCTCTCCTTTGCCAGCCCCAGGTGGGGTGGGAAGGGAGGGAGTGTCGTTGGGACACGTCGGATCACATCGGAAAGGCAGGTGACCTATCAACGTGGAGCATTCCCCCCAGTTGAGAGGTGAGCAGATCATGGCTTGTTTGGGGACATCCTCTTGGGCGTGGGGCTCTTTCCCGGGAGCGGGGAGGCCAGGCCACCTGCAGGCATCCCTGCCAGCTCTAGTTCACTCTTCCAGGTCAACGTACCAAAAAAACCCTCCCACCATTCTCCCCCCGCCCCCCCCAACCTCCTGCTGAAGCATCCCAAAGAAGATGGAGACTCTTCCCTAACTTGCCGAGACATCAACATTGCAGAGCAAAATATTAGATAAGAGAGATCAAAGGATAAAACAGTTAACCGCAAAATTACTGTTTGTTCTGCTTGCAGCAAGATACAAATCTAAAAATAATACAGAGCACCAGCTTTTCATTTCTCCCTGTAGCAAAGAAATGTGCAACTATCCGATGTTTTGAAATCTTATCCTGCATTTTCCTAGCAATGCTGGGGATTTTCTGCAAGTAACTAACCCATGGACGCAGTTTAGACCTGGGCTGCCCCTGCCTGCCTTCGCCCAGGGGGGCTGAGCCAGAGGGAACCCTTCTCTGAAGGGAGGACAGAATAAACCTCCCACGGGTAAAACCAGAATTTTAAAATTGGCATCGGCTGAAGATTGTCATAGACAACAACTGTGTGGAATGAAGTGTATTTCAATTTGGTTACTATTTCTAAGACTAGATTTCTACATTAGCACGTACAGCCTCCGCTCCCTCTTGTTATTCCTCATGGGGTGCAGGATTTGTAGGCAACCTGCCGTTGCTTAACTTTTCTCAATTTCTTTCTTTCTTTTCCTTTTTGCCTGTTCGGGGTTCCGTGTTGTTTATTCCGGGACATGCCTAGGAACACGTTCCATGCAGAAATACTACTAAAAATCAACAGAGGCATGTCTGGGCCGGGACAGGATTAATCTGAGAAAAGAAAAAATGAAAGATTTGGGTGGAGCTGATTCAGCCGGGGGGTGGGGAGAGAGCGGGGGGGTGCAAAGGGTTTGTGTTCCACCCGGCAGGAGGAGCTCGTGATGGGAAGGGCCACACAACCACCCATTCCCTGGGAAACTTGACCTAAGTCGGCTTCTCCCACCTTCAGGTGTGCTGAACGTCATCTCCTTAAACTCCCACCCACCCCGGCCCCAAGATGTCCGGGCATCTTTGATCGGCTGGGCAGCAGAGGTGCAATCCAATTGATCTGCATGGTGACCAGTTGCAGAATTATTTCTCAACAAGGGTGGAAAACTCATTTGGGACTTTTGAGAGCGCAGTGTGAGTCTTGTGCAGGAATAGGGTAGGTCTAGTAAGAAGGAGGACCGGGGGCGACACGATGGCAGCCTTCCCATATTTGAGGGACTGCCCCAAAGAGGAGGGGTGGTCAAGCTCTTCTCCAAAGCCCCAGAAGGCAAGCAAAGAAGCAACGGGTGGAAACTAATCCAGGACAGAAACCCGGAACTAAGGAGGAATTTCCTGACCGTGAGAACAATGAACCAGTGGAGCAATTTCCCTCCATCCCTGGAGGTTTTTAAGAGGAGGCTGGGCAGTCACCTGTCCAGAATGGTCTAGGGTCTCCTGCTTGAGCAGGGGGCTGGACTAGAAGACCTCCGAGGTCCCTTCCAAGCCTGTTTGCTCTGTTATTCTTCTCCTCACAGAGTTGTGTTCCGGGGGGGGGGGGGCCTCCCGTTCCCCGCAAAGACTCGTTGATCAGGAAGCAGGTGGGCCTGTTCCGGGGTGGTCCCCTTGCCCTCTGGAGTCCCCCTCCTGTTGCCTTCCGCTGCCCTCGCTTGCCTTTGCTCCTTCCTGCCACCCTCCAGCATCGTTATTTGCACAGAGGCAAACGGATCTGCAGGGGAAGCCGGGGGATGGGCCTCTGCAAAAGCAAACAGAGGACAAAGGGAGGCGCCTCTACCAAGGTGCCTCCGGTGTCCCCACCCCCCCGCCCTCTCACGCTAATCCAAAGGACGAATCCACTTCCGGGTGGTTTTAGGCCAGTGGCGAGCATGGGAGGCAAAATGGGGGCCGGGGGGGGGGGTAAAGCGGTCATCCAGGCTTGGCAGGACAGTCACCCTTCCTGGGGGTGGAAGCCTGTCCCCATTTCCACCTGGGAGGCGTGCGAAAGCAGAACCTGCCGGCCTGAGTTTTGAGCATCAGGATCTGGAGCAGTCTCGGGGGCTGGAGGGGGCCTTCCTGAAGGCCAAGGAAGGGCCAGGAAGGCCTATCAAAGCAGCCGCCCGTTCGCCAAGGCGATTTGCCCAGGGAGAGGCTGAAGCCTTTGGCCAGCAGATCCTCTGAGGTCTGGTGCTGGTTCCAGCTTTTCAACAGGCTGCAGGAGCCTCGTGGCTCTTCCTCTCGGATGCCGCTTGCGCTGGGTTCAGCAAAGCTCCAC